GTGTGCTCTTCCGATCTCCCCAAAACCCCAAAACCCCATAGTATTATTATATGAAGAATTAAATAGAAATCAAAATTCAGTTGAAATAGTAATAATATTCAAAGTTAAGAAAATGAGTGGTGATACTATTGGCATTATGGATGCTGCCTTTTTTGTCAGCAAGAATGAAATATTAAGCTGGTTGAATGATCTGCTTAAAGTAAGATTATTTAATATACCTATGCCATTATAGTTGAACATTCAGAAGGTTGAATAATGTGCTACTGGAGCAGTATATTGCCAAATCATAGATGCTATTTATCCAGGGACTGTCGTAATGTCAAAGATTAACTGGCAGGCTAAGCATGACTATGAATACGCATATAACTACAAGATACTTCAAACTGCCTTCTAAAAGAACGGAATAGCTAGATACGTAGATGTAAGTACAGAGAAAAAGCATTTATTATGGAGAAAATCTTGATAAACTAATTAATTGTGTAGCCAACTAAACTGATGAAAGCCAAGTATCAAGATAATCTTGAGATGCTTCAGTGGATAAAAAGATACTATGACATCAATGCTAAGGGAGAAGATTATGATGCAGTGGGAAGAAGAAAGGGTGCAGATTTATATTTGATTGGTGAACCAGGTGGTAAAGCACAAGGAGCACCAAAGCAGCAAATTTAACAATAGTCAGCAATCAAAAGACCCACTACAGCTTCCACTAATGCTGGCAAGATTGCATAGCATGTTGTAGCAAAGTAGCAATCTGTATCTAACAATGATGAGCAGTTTTTGGCTTAAATCGAGGAGCAATAGAGACATATTGAAGATTAAAATGCTAAGATCAATGAATTGGAGGACAAAGTTAGAATGCTTGAGTTAAGAAGCTAAGAGCTTGACAGTGAAAAAGATATGTATTTCCAAAAACTGAGCATGCTTGATGAATTCCTTAATGGTGCAATTAACTCAGAAGACTGCAAGGAAAATCCTTAACTTAACGAATATTTGAGCTAGATTCATAATATCTTGTTCAAGGACGAAAATCTCAAGGACGGGGATTCTGGGATTGACCATCTTATGGAAGATAACTGAATAATTAGTGATTTATGCGAAACTAAGATTTAATGTTATCATATTTGGATAAGATAAATTATAATATACAAATCATTAAATGAAATTAAAATAATCTAAAGCTAATTAATCTTAATGAGTTTACTCATTGAATTCCATAATGTTGATCAGATAGAGCTGTCTAGAGAGTTTCCAATAAAAATTCACTCTTTGCCCTCAGTCTTAACTTTTCCAACAGCTTTGTAATCAGTCTCCTCGTTGTCATCAAAGCTCTACTCAAATTCAGAGCTGTCCTCAGATACGTCTTCTAACTCCTCCTTTATTCTTTAGTCAATTCTGCCAACAATATCTCTCTGTTCCACTAGCTCAGGGTTGTTCTTCATTAGATCGTTCTTGATTCTGCACAACTTGTGAATGTAAAGAGCTTTCTCTCTGTCAGCTCTACTCATCTATACATAAGCATACTTTTGATTGTCATTGAGTTCTCTCCAATGATCTTTAATCATTTTCTGGCGATCTTTGCCATCCATTTCTGGGTGAGTGCTTTTCATTATTGGGACAAGTTCCCTCCTGAAGAATCTGTAGGCAGACATAAACTTTAGCTTGCCTGATGGCTTGACTGCTCCTTATGAGCCATTGCTAGATGCTGACTAGTTCTATAATGTGTGAGGGATGCTTCTTGAAGCAACAACCTTATCGATACAGTTGTACTTGATATCATATATCTTCTATCTTAGCAGGTTCTTCTCGAAAATAGTCTGTTTGAGTTGCTGGAAGTATTCTTAAGATTGCTGCTTTGCCATCTCAAAATAGATTTCTTTATCAGAGTTGTCAAGTTGGAACTTCCACTGTTGATACAGAAAATCTGAGATCTCCTTGCTCTGCAAGTGTGGCATCTGCTTCTTAACCAGATTAAATTCCTTGTTCTCAAATATCTGGTAGGCTGTGCTTGGTTTCTTGGGCTCTTTGATGAGTTTGATCTAGTTTTCTAACTCCACAATCTCAAAGTACTGCTTTTTGCTGAGTTTAGGATAAGCTTTGTCGTAGGAGAATAAGTTGTGATGAGATGAAGGAGTCATAGTGGATCGCGGATAATTGGTCGTCGTTGTTGTTTTCGAGTCTGAGTAGTTGACACTGTTTGAATAGCAATTCACACAGTTTTAACTGTGATTTTTTGGCTATATGCAATAACCTTATCTGCAGTAATCATGATAATGAGGATAGCATGCCTCTTCTGCATAGAACTTGGAGTTTGAGGCATGATTATAAAAGTTTCTGCTTTCTCTAGCCTATTTCATTGATTAATATTATAACTTGTTGATTAAAATCAAAATTAATAACATTTCTTATAATACCCAAGATATAAGTCTATGATGGGGTTTTGGGGTTTTGGGG